TTACGCGGGTTAATATTCTCGTAGCGCTCCATTCCTTAAAAGCAATGGACCTCGGCCCCTTCGGGGCCTCGGCTCCATTACTTTTAAGGAATGGAGCGTTACTCGTACATTAACCCTTACGTAAAATGTTGTTTCTTAGAGGTCAATGTGGGCAAAGCCGTTAAACTGGAGTAACCTTGACAGTATTTATGAAGCTGCACGTAGAAAGGAAATAAAGCTTATTTCAATCAATTTTTAAGATCAAAGACAGTGTTCATGTGTTATTCTTCGGTGTACTAGCTGTTATATATTCATCTGAAGAGTAAATATCATGTTATTGTATACACACTCTGTACACACACACACACACCCTCTCACACACACACCCTCACACACACACACACACACACACACACACACACACACACACACACATATATATATATATATATATATATATATATATATATATATATATATATATATATATATATATATATATATATATATATATATATATATGGTAATTTTTAAAGAGGGTGTTGCAGAAATCTAAATCGAGAAGGTCATTTAAATACCCACGACGCTTGAAGAGTTATCTCTAAATATAGATAATGCTACGTAGATGGCTTATTAGTCCCCTACCGGTGAAACCGGAGGGGACTATAGGTTTCCTCTGAGTCTGTCCGTCCGTCTGTCTGTCCGTCTGTCTGTCTGTCTGTCCCTCTGTCTGTCTGTCAGTCTGTCCCACTTGGTTTTCCGCACTTTTTTCCTAAACGCTTGCAGATATTGAGCTGATTTTTGGTATGTGAGTGTATCTTGACGAGTTACAGATCAAGTTTGCATTTCGTTCCGCTTCATTGATTTTTGACGGAATTACGGCCTTTTCAATTTTTAGGGGTTTTCCGCAATTTTCTTTTAAACGCTTGTAGATATTGAGCTGATTTTTGGTATGTGGCTTTACCTTGATTAGTTATAGATCAAGTTTGCATTTCGTCTCGCTTCATTAATTTTTGACGGAATTATGGCATTTTCAATTCTTAACAGGAACGGAACCAGATTACACTTGCCGGTAGGGGACTAGTATTGCTAATGCAATACTCTCAGAATGCTTGTTTTCAATGACAAATATGATCTTCAAACTAGTGAAAAATAATATGTAAGTTGACTATTGAAAAATCATTTAGCAACATAAGTCGAAAGAGTCGGTAAGTGTTCCTAAACTTTCGATTGATAGCGGTGAACGGTTTCTGGTCACGTGTTGACTAGAGTTCAGCTCACAAAACAGTTACTTTTCAAAGATTGCAACAACGACCGTGTAATGTGTATTAAATTCTTCACTACAGAAAGAAATCGGGAACATTTTTTGTGTGTCTAGTTTTTAACTGCACTGAACATGTGCAATTTTTCTCTCACACCTTTGCAATTGCTTTACCTTATTCCTACAAAAATACATTGTCAAACATGAGAAAGATTAAGTTTTCTTAAAATTATTTTGATCCTAGACAATTAACCAATCACATCTCTGATTTATACATGTAACACATTAGTTTGAAGAAATGAAAATATCGGAAGATTGAAGTATCTGAGGTCTAAATAAATAAATTGTATCAATTTGGGAAACTTCAAAATTTGATAAAGGAGGATTGGTGCACAGGTTGCATTTGCAGTACTATGCATGTATGTACAGATACATGTAAGTACAGTTGCTTTTATTGCCTAAAACAAGCAGAAGATTTATGCTTGTAAATAAGCTAAATATTTAGTATCCCACCACAACCCTCTAGAAATCTCCAATTTATACTTATCTCTCACATGCTTAGCTGTATTCTTGTAAAATTTGCATAAGGTAACTCTGGATGTACTCAAATGATCTCCCTTTGAACGTCGTAAGTACAACGATCATTGGAATGAAACTAATATGAATGCAAGGGCTCAGTGACGAGATTACGAGAAATCACATATTCTGAAGGACATTCGATCCTCAGCCAGGAAGGTTAACTCTTTAATTTATTATTTAAATCAAAAAGTCTCAAAATCAAGCTTTAATATGAAATCTTTTCATGCAACAATTTTCATTTTATGCATCTCAATCTTTGAAGTTTTAGAAACAGTTTTTTAAAACGTTGATATTTTTACCCTATAAAGGTATGTTAAAAATACAGATTTAAAGAAATGGACTTTTCCTTCAAGTTAGCCTTAGATACATGTACCATTGCTATTTAGCATGATATGATATTAGAAATGATTTATGGTATTTTGCAATGATAGGAGACACTTTACAAACAATGCATTGTAAAATAATTGAAGTACACAGAAGAAACTAAAGTACTGTATAAGTATAAAAATCATGCAATTTTCTTCAAATGCCTGGATACCTATAGTTTCTTTATCCTAAAATGTTTTTATTGATAAATTTCCAATTAGAAAATGCATAGTAGGTGTCTTTATTCGCATTTCCTGAAAATTTATGTGAGATTTACTAATTTTTCTTATATAATATGATTGACTTCAATAATGAAGTTTGAACAATCACCGTGGGTAAATTCACATTACTTTGAGAATTCAGAGACATTTTTGTGAGCATTTTCAATTATTCAATGCCTGACTTTCAGAACCTGATGATCGGACTACCTTAAAGACTGCAAAAATTACTTTGAATTAAACCCTTCATAACAGGTAGAGAAAAGGTACTTTGTTCTTCGGTAAGAAATCAATCAATTCTGTTACAGATTTACTGTTCATGTATTTCAATTTTTCCATGTAGTACATTGTTAGTAAAAGTAAACTGAACAAGCATTCTGAGAGTATTGCATTAGCAATACTAGTCCCCTACCGGCAAGTGTAATCTGGTTCCCGTTAAGAATTGAAAATGCCATAATTCCGTCAAAAATTAATGAAGCGAGACGAAATGCAAACTTGTTCTATAACTAATCAAGGTAAAGCCACATACCAAAAATCAGCTCAATATCTGAAAGAAGAAAGAAGAAAATTGCGGAAAACCCGTAAAAATTGAAAAGGGCGTATTTCCGTCAAAAATCAATGAAGCGAAACGAAATGCAAACTTGATCTGTAACTCATCAAGATACACTCACACACCAAAAATCAGCTCAATATCTGCAAGCATTTAGGAAAAAAGTGCGGAAAACCAAGTGGGACAGACTGACAGAGGGACAGACCTTTTCAATTTTTCAGGGTTTTCCGCACTTTTTTTTTCTAAATGCTTGTAGATATTGAGCTGATTTTTGGTATGTGACTTTACCTTGATGAGTTATAGATCAAGTTTGCATTTCGTTCCACTTCGTTAATTTTTGACGGAATTATGGCATTTTCAATTTTTAACGGGAACCAAATTACACTTGCCGGTAGGGGACTAGTATTGCTAATGCAATACTCTCAGGATGCTTGTTTTTTAAGACATTGCTACTAAATAATAACATTAAATGTATGTCTTATTAGTCCCCTACCGGTGAAACCGGAGGGGACTATAGGTTTCCTCTGAGTCTGTCCGTCCGTCTGTCTGTCTGTCTGTCCGTCTGTCTGTCTGTCTGTCTGTCTGTCTGTCTGTCCCTCTGTCTGTCTGTCAGTCTGTCCCACTTGGTTTTCCGCACTTTTTTCCTAAACGCTTGCAGATATTGAGCTGATTTTTGGTATGTGAGTGTATCTTGGTGAATTACAGATCAAGTTTGCATTTCGTTCCGCTTCATTGATTTTTGACGGAATTACGGCCTTTTCAATTTTTAAGGGTTTTCCGCAATTTTCTTCTAAACGCTTGTAGATATTGAGCTGATTTTTGGTATGTGGCTTTACCTTGATTAATTATAGATCAAGTTTGCATTTCGTCCCGCTTCATTAATTTTTGACGGAATTATGGCATTTTCAATTCTTAACGGGAACGGAGCCAGATTACACTTGCCGGTAGGGGACTAGTATTGCTAATGCAATACTCTCAGAATGCTTGTTAGTTTTAGATCACAATATCAAAGAAAACAATTTAATTATGCATGCATTTAAAATATTACCCATCAACTTTCTGACATCCTCTCCCTCTCTCTTTCTCTCCCAAGAGAGTTGTTACACTGTACTTCCATTATAGTGTATAAGAAAAAAATGTATATACCAGCCATTCCAGGATTCGAACCCATTCTCAGGTAAAAAGAATCTACACATAGAGTTCACACGCTTTACCACTAGACCAGCTCCAACACTGAATTATCTTGTGCTATTTTATGTACATACTTTGCATTTCGGGTGGATAATAATTTTTCTTCGATTTTTGTGATTTTCAAAAATATGCCTCTTTGAAACAAAAATCGGAAATGGCAGTTTTGAAGAAAACTCCTGTTTCTTTATGCGTATATCAAGTTCATTCTGTTTCAAGGAGGCAATTTTTCAGAACAATGGGGATTCCCTATATGAAAAACAGAAAACTTGACTTATTTTGCTATGTGACTAATTTACACTTCTTTTAATGGCAAATTGGTAGTCGATATGCATTTTGCAAATATTGTTCTACCTTGTGCTGTATATACTGTTGTATCTGACAAAAATTAAGACCGTTTTCTGTTACTTGAAATTTTTCTTTTAAACTGCTACAGCTTTAAGGAAAATAACAAAAGAAGTGCAACACCCTCTTTGCACAATAAATATGAAATTTATATATCTTCCCCACTTATTTGTTCAAACTGACTTACCAGAACGTATGCTGCTGAATTGCATTTATAAATGAGTACTTATTTACCCGATAATTTCTTGGCAGATGAAAGTTATTTAAAAGTCAATAGACACCTCAATGCACATGCGGACATTTGCAAATTGATGAAGTTTTAACTGAAGTAGGAAAAAAATAGATTAGAATTTAAATCAATCGATTTCGCAGGAAGAAAATAACTAGCAAACACGATGTGTGTAAAAGTAGCTTTACGAATCTTGTTTTTGCTTCATCAAGAAACCATTTTGCCATTATGAATTAGATGACACAGTTGGGTTGGTTAATAGCCCAGTAAAAGTTCCCTGAAAGGATGACGATTTTTACATTAATTGGCTGCTTATATTTATTTTCCCTCGAATGTTCCCCTGGATTTTGTAAAATTTCAGGAAAGGAAAACTTGTACCGAGAAGTTACAGTAATGCGTGACAAACAGAGAAGTTCCAACATAATTTTTACAGAGAGGAAAAGCTCAAAAATACATTGCGGGATTCAGTGTGGCGTATCAATGTGCCAAAGTTTTTCTTATAATTCAATTACACGTACCTGTTGTGGATATGACGTCACAATCACGGATACAACGTCAACTGTTTTGGAAAGTGGTTGGAGGACGTACAACAATATTACAGGTATTATTTCTTTATTACTATTATTCTGAAATATCTGACGTTTTCCAGGCGTTTTTCACGATTTTGATATTTGCCCTGGCACGTCAAATATTAAATCGTTAAAAACGCTTGGAAAACGTCAGATATTTCGGACTCTATTATTATTATTAGTAGTAGTAGCAGTGAATTCACTGAATTGTAATATGATCATGATAGATATCGTTCTTCTGGTTCATTGCAGCTTTTTTCAAAGTGCATGACTGCCAACAAATGTCCACCAAGTAGGGTTCGGACCCCAACTATTAAGTTTTTCTGCTATAATTTTGGGGGACTGTTTTACAAAAGAACTTACGGCTAAGACCAAAATTTAATTCTATTTATAACTTTCTATTTTATATTAATTAAAAATGATTTTAAGATTTTAAAAAAGAATTTTACAAGGTATTTTGATGCTGGCAATTTCAAACAAAATCATTGAATTTGAAAAAAATTACAATCAACGAAATTTTTTGGTCTTTGTCGTAAGTTCTTTTGTAAAACGGGCCCTTGGTTTGTTTTTTGGATATCTACTGAAGATTATTTGTTCTTGTGCTTTACTTGAGAAATGTTCACTTAGCCATAAAGCACCGGAAGGAAAAAAAATCTTATTTTTTAACCTCTAGTACACGTTCAAATAAGCTGAAAATACATTAATACAAAGTATGGGATTGAACTAGCTACAAAACATTCGAAAAGTACACAGATTCCAGATGGATATTTCAAAAGCTGTATGCTACTGGTATGGGGCATTAGAAAAAGAGAAAGATATCGGCAATTTAGTCTCCCCTTCTTAATAACATTCATCTAACGGAGATCATTTCTCCAATTCTTATCAACATTCATCTAACGGAGATCTTTTCTCCAATTATTCTCTACATTCATCTAACGGAGATCGTATCTATAATTTTTATCAACATTCATCTAACAGCGATCGTTTCATCTAATGGAGATCGTTTCTATAATTCTTACCAACATTCATCTAGGCCTAACGGAGATCGTTTCGCCAATTCTTATCAACATCCATCTAACGGAGATCGTTTCTTCAATTCTCATCAATATTCATCTAACGGAGATTGTTTTTTCATTCCTTATCAACATTCATCTAACGGAAATCGTTTCTTGGGTTCTTATCAACATTCATCTATCGGAGATCTTTTCTCCAATTCTTCTCTACATTCATCTAACGGAGATCGTTTCGCCAATTCTTATCAACATTCATCTAACGGAGATCGTTTCTCCAATTCTTATCAACATTCATCTAACGGAGATCGTTTTTCCATTCCTTATCAACATTCATCTAACGGTAATCGTGTCTTGGGTTCTTATCAACATTCATCTATCGGAGATCTTTTCTCCAATTCTTCTAACGGAGATCGTTTCTATAATTCTTACCAACATTCATCTAACGGAGATCGTTTCGCCGATTCTTATCAACATTCATCTAACGGAGATCGTTTCTCCAATTCTTATCAACATTCATCTAACGGAGATCGTTTCTCCAATTCTTATCAACATTCATCTAACGGAGATCGTTTTTCCATTCCTTATCAACACCCATCTAATGGAGATCGTTTCTTGGGTTCTTATCAACATTTATCTATCGGAGATATTTTCTCCAATTCTTACCAACATTCATCTTGTACGTATAGACCTTTTCTTCAATTCTTACCAACATTCATCTTGTACGGAGATCGTTTCTCCAATTCTTACCAACATTCATGTAACGGAGATCGTTTCTTGAGTTCTTATCAACATTCATCTATTGGAGATCGTTTCTTGGGTTCCTATCAACATTCATCTATCGGAGATCTTTTCTCCAATTCTTACCAACATTCATCTTGTACGGAGACCGTTTCTCCAATTCTTACCAACATTCATGTAACGGAGATCGTTTCTCTAATTCTTATCAATATTCATCTAACGGAGATCGTTTCTCCATTTCTTATCAACATTCATCTAATGGAAACCGTTTCTCCATTTATTATAAATAGATAGATTCTCCATTTCTTATCAACATTCATCTAACTGAAATCGTTTCTCCGTTTCTCATCAAAATTCATCTAAAGTTTATCCAATTCTTATCAACATTCATCTAAAGTTTCTCCAATTCTTATCAACATTCATCTAAAGGAGATCGTTTCTCCAATTCTTTTCAATATTCATCATGCTCTAACGGAGATCGTTTCTCGGGCTCTTATCAACGAGACCAAGAATGGGACAAGGTTGGTCAGTCAAGGTTGGTTTTCTGATGGTTAAAAAATGGCCAGATATATAGATATAGTCAGAACATTTTCTCTTCATTTACACTAACTTTCTCTGAAGTTAATGATTACTGGTTTTAATTTAGCTCAACACTCATTTACTTGAAATGATTCTAGTACAAGTATTTTTATGAAATAAAAATAAAATGAAACCAAAATTTTTGTGCTCGTATGCCAGCAAATATCAATTCGGGATATTCCTGACATTGCATACGAAGGGGAGAGGCAGGGGTCGTAAAGATTTTTTTGTTTTTGTTTTTGTTTTTTTAACCTTGTATCAATTCTTTGTCAGGCACTTCACACAGATTTTAAGCACTTGAATTTCAAATATTTAAAAAAAAAAAAAAAACAACATTTGAAGAAACTCGCTTGTTTGGAATTTACACCATTGAGACTCCTTAATTAATCATGATGAAAATAAAAATAAAGGAAATACTGACAGTGCAATAATTATTTCAGCACGTAATATAATATTCAGTTGAGTTCGACAAATATGCTTACACTCAAATGTAATAACACCATGCAGATGAAAACCACTCGCTAATTAAACCTTTATTTAGCAATATAAGCTTGTTTTTCAAGGTTTAGTATCACACTAATTAAGATGATTGGTTACACCGGATTCTGTACTTTAAATCTCGCCTATGGCGATGCATGAATGTCAACACAATGATCACCAACACGGCAATATTTCCATCCCGAAGGCTGAGTTTTAATAGGGATTACTAGCAGACTATAAAATATAACTGACATTTACTGTTGTTTGTCATAAAATAAAGGCCAAATTACCTCTTGTTTTTACATTTACACCCCCTTTGAATTGAAAATTATTTTAATTTTCCCCCAGGAAGAACCTTGTTTTGATTTTGTTTTCATACAACGATTCAACTATATCTAAATTGCGTTTTTCTAGTAGACATATTTTCCACTGATGTGCACACAACATTAACAGTATCAAAGTATTGATATTTTGTTCTGGTACATGTATTATTTTAAGATAAAGGATGTGTATTTTGTTCACCCCGGGTCGAAGATTGGGAAGGGGGGTGGTATGCATTTCTTTGCCCGACTCTCTCCTTGCACATAGAACACGGTGACCTCATATTTCGTCAGATGTTAGCCTATTTCTAGAGAGTGTGTCACAATCTTCATAAACTGAAAGGTCATTGAAGCTAACTCAAGGTTAAGGTTTTACCAAAGGTCAACCTGTTTGGTAAAACCTTAAGGACAGGGAGTGTAAATAATTCTTGGCCGCTTCATACCCTCTGTAAAGAAACACAGGAGGCTTATACACTTAGCACAAAAGTTGCTCTGGTCAGAGATTCTTTTGTGACCTTGAATAAAAATTCACGGTGACATTGATCTGAAGCGCCATTTTCGTGTCTGATCAATGCTTGCAACTTTGCTATTGAGAAATACGAAAAAATAATATTTTTTTATGTTTATAAGTGTGTCATGAACTTAGCCCATGGCAAGGTTATTGGGTAAAGGGTTATATTTGCATCATAGAGGCCTTTGGATCATATCGCTCACCCGAGTCACCATTCCCTTCCTGAGAAATTCATGAATATATACATTATGATTTTTTCCCTATAAAAATTACCACTTATATAGCCCACCCAGCCACAGGATTTAAACAACGGATATTACCTTTGGCTCAGGTGAGCTAAGAATAGAAACTCATTTTTGGAACAAAAATTGCTTTTGGCTTATTCAAGCCAGACCCGTAGAAAGCGATTTCTATTTGAGGAGAGGCCGGGCACACGCGCCCACTTTTATTTGACAACAAAAAAAATCTATGAGAGGTTTATAAGTAAGACCTTTTTCTTGTTAATTGAGACAATGAGGGAGCAAAAATACCTGCAAGACAAGCACAAATCATTGGCAGCAAATTGAAAGTTGGGGGGGGGGGGGGCTAATTGAAAGAGGAAAAAAAGAAAAATAGTAATTGTCTAGATGCGAAAATCCTATTTCGTGGGGGTGGGGTGGGGTGTCAAACTTCTTTCAGTACCAATTCCTTTTCCAAATCCTAACACTTACCCTTCTTTGACTACACTGCAACCTGTGCCTCTTGAAAGTAAGGGGGGGGGGGAACCTACGCCCCAATGTTCAATGCCTATATTATGTCTATCTTTGCAAAAAAGTGGGGGGGGGGGCTAAGCCCCCTTGCCCCCCCCCCCCGTTCCGACGCCTATGCAAATAAGTCGAGCTTTGCACCACAAACACTCTCTCCCCCGTTTGGCAAATGGGACTACTGAGCATGTGACAAAAAAGATTGGAAGTCACACTATTTAGGTTTGAATTGGCTTGAGACATTTGTAAGCCATCATATATAGGCACCTGACATGGTAACTTAGCAAATATTCATGAATTCCTTTCCTATCACACCAATACTTCGTTATTTTCAACACGTTAATACAGCATTATCAATGAAATTTATGCAAGAGGCAGTTCAGGGAAATGTTGTTTTACAAGCCCCTTACAGCCACACTCGGTCAAAATATAATGTTTTTTTTGTCCTAAATTCGGGATTATTAACCAGACTTCCTTCCACTGGTTGCCATTACGTACTATTTTGTTTAGCGTAATGAAAAATCCAGAGATAGCTAATTGGAACTACTTGGATTTTTTCCACAATCGACAATCAAAACCTCCTATTTGGCTGCCAGTGAAAGGGAATTGGGTAAATAAACGCGAATTTAGGATAAATGAATAATTTTGATTCGGGTGTAAACGTAAGATGCTTGTAAAACAACATCTCCCTGAACTGCCTCTTGCATAAATTTCATTGGTAATGCTGTATTAAGGTTGAAAATCTCCCTCGAAGAGGGGCACCCTGTGTTTACGAGGCTGTTTAGTATTTTTATATGCCGTAAAGGGGCAATCTCTAAAACTTAACAAAAGCGGAAAATGATATCAAATAACGAAGTATTGGTATGACAGACTAGAAATCCATGTATATTTGCTAAGTTATCGTGTCTAAAAAAAACTCCCACAAGGAAGGAGGGGGGGGGGGGGATTACACCAACTAATCGTCAGGTGCCAGGAATCTTATACAGACAGAAAAATCATTATCACCCTAACTGAAGTCTGACTGGATGCCTTTCATCTTTTAAAACTCATTTGCCATTATTTCTTAACAATAGTTCAAGCTTCTATGCGTAAATTAATTACTTATGTAAATAACTTCAAATTCTCAATATCAGGGTGACTTTTAAAAGCATACTGCTCAACTGCTCGCCTACAAAAACAGCCGTGGTCTTACTCATTGGCTTGGGGAGTCAGCATCAAATGCTAAATGAAGAACTTGGCCAATGGACCAATCCAGGGGTATATGCACTGACATTGCTGCAGATGACAACTGAACCATTAATTTTGTTAGTCCCCGCCGCCACATGGTGTTCTGCAGAACTGAATTAGTCTATACTATGATGTCAAAGTAACCTGGATCAATCCACTGGCAAATTTAAATGCTGGAACAAGTAACGCTGAAAATTGGACAGAATCAGTTACACAGGACCAGAAGCACAGCTGCTGACTACAGTATCATTTTGTAAAGTGGCAGAAAGAGCAGGTGGTCATGGCCATTGACACAGGCCACTAACACAGAAAAGGTTACCCGATAGTCTTTACTACTAACAAGGTACTAATATCACGGAAAGGCTTTTCGGTGAAAGGGGGGGGGGGTCGTTCTACTTGTTCTTTTTTTTTGTTTTGCGTTAGTGTTTTTTAAGTGCAGGGCATTCGACTGGTAAACCTTGTTTATTTATGTTTAAAAACCAACTAAACGGGTCCTTTAGATTGTACTTATAAATACAATTTGTGTTTGAATTAAATTTTTAAGAGTAGATGTATGATGAACAGATACTATTCAAGTTTTACCAACACATTTATAATGGATATCATGAGATATGTCCTTGAATTTGAATACATGGTTCGACTGAGCCAAAACAGATTTTCCATTAACCATTTGTCGTCTCAAAAACCAGTTGACTAGTTTCATCTGAATCCTTGGGTAAACAGAATTCAATTTTCTTCAAGTATAGGGCCATACAATCCTTTAAGGTTCATTGATACTCTGATAAGAGAGATAACTCTTAATGACATATGTGTATTTTAAAATCCCTTATAAATTTGACAGGTTGTCTTTTTTGTCCAATTTTGCCCCGCAAGCTATGCTATATTTGTCTGTATTTTACTTATAAAACACATTTCTTTTGGAAAATCATAACAGTTTAAGCAACATTTTATATGTGTGAGCAGAAGGTTCATGAACCTTTAATGGAAAATTATTATAAAGAAGAAGGTTGAGTCACAAAAAAGTATTTTCAAGGACCAACGGACCAGGGGAAAAACTTGGTGAAAGTTTCTCTACTTAAGAACCCTGTCTACAATGCACACTAAAGAGTTCTGATTCTCTGGTATTTTTCTGCAGTTAGAGTGATCTGCCCTTATATCTAAATTGAGTAAATTCAATATTGAAATCTACAGTGTGTTTCTCAATTTGCAACTCGAACATTCTTAACATTTTGAAAGGTCAATTTTAAGATAAATTATAAATATGATAATAAGGTATAACAAAACATTTATTGACTGGGTTCTCGGGCAAAATGCTTTCTGTTGACCCGTCGAAGCAAACTGTGTGCCTTCGGCCTAACGGCCTCAAGCAAACAGTTTGGTTCTTGGGTCAGACAAAACGCATGTTGCCCTCGAACCCAGTCAATAAATGTATATTAAAACACAAACTCTTGCACTATATGAACCAATTTTCTCAATTCTTGGGTATCTGTGACGTTTGTAAACATACAATACTATTATACTTTTTCAGCTCATTCCACAATCACAGAGCCAGTAACACCACCACTTACCACAAATACACCAACCACCACCACCAGTGAGGCACACATAACGGAACCACCTACAACGACTATTACAACCACTACTATTGCCAGCACAGTACAACAACCTTCATGTAACTTTCTTTAAAAATCAGAAGTATATTACTTTAAGGGTTTGCAAGATTTTTGGTTTCCCGAGGTCAAACATATATTTACCATAATGAGGCCTCGGAGTAAACCAGGATCTCGCCATCTGCTATGATGTTACCATCTAACTGTTAAATATATACATGTATTACATAATTATGTATCGTAAGCAAATAATTCTCCAATGCATCTAATTTACAAAGCACGGTTGTCATTTTATCTGAAAAATTATTCATTGTGCCACGGTCCCGCTCCAATACCATTAACTGATAAACGGCAAAATAGTCTTCATAAGAAAATTCATATATTTTGACCAAAGCAAAGTGGTTTAGTAAATATCTTGGTCACTATATACATATGAATCTCATAGGTGTCGGAAGCAAATTGATGGGGGGGGGGGGACTAAACACCCCCCCAAAAGCGGGGGAGGGGGGCTAAGCCCCAATTTTCAATACCTATATTATGTCTATCTTTGCAAAAAAGGGTGGGGACTAAGCCCCCCCCCCCGGTTCCAACGCCTACGCCTCTAAGATTTAGAGTTGACAGATTATATGATAAAATCTAAGTAAAAGTTAATTTTTTTTACAAAATCTTCCGTAAATGATTTTGAAACTGCGAAATATTTACATAGAATTATACTTTTATGTCATGTTAATTTATTGTATAATTATTATCAACTCTAAAAAAATATGTAGAAAGTTTTATGGTAAGGATATCTTTTTTAAAATCTAAATGCAAATTAACATGTGAAGTAGGAAGATAACGAACAGTAATCAAACTCAAAGGTCTATTGAATCAATACAATTTAATTTTTGGAGCCAAGCAAACACAAGCCTCTGAAAACACCAGAGGTGGGATCAGGTACATATGTGCCATGGAGGAGTAATCCTTCCCCTGTCGACCCGGTTTCACCCGCAGTGTGCTCCTTGTTATGATCGGAAAAATCTGTGTGAAAAACGTCAGGCCATCTTTAAAAAATGTTCGTTTGCCCTCTACCGACTCAGGATAAAACAATTGGGTCGGTAGGTAGGTGGGGAAATTTTTTTTCTAGAAAATTTCAGAATACTTATCGACAGGATGAGAAAACCCAGGAATAAAAAGAAAAAAAAAATATCCTTTTCTGGAGGTTAAAAGAGTTTTGAGTTGGGACATTTTTAAGCAGTCGGTCGGAAGAGGCCAAACAAACATTTTTTTTTTAAAGATGGCCTCAGTCAACATTTAACTTAATGATAAGACCGTGGAACGATTGGAAATATGGAGCTTACATTTCCATCTGTTAGAATCCAAAAATTTGATTATAGATAATAAAATGGGCGGGTAAAATTCGGCGCGAGCGGCTGAGAAAAAATTGATTGAAATCCTAGTTTAAAATTCATTTTCAATCCATCTCGGTTACGATCGTAAGCACAGTGTTAATGATTGATCCAGAAGACAAATAATTTCAATTTCGGAATAGTTTGAAACTTATGTGTTTTAAAGAAATAAAAAGGGGACGGCAATTTGATTCATGTCGTAGGGGAGGGGCTGAAAGATCTTGGAAAAATTAAGAACATTTTTCAGTGAAGAAAATAATAAATATCTCGTGTCATTCTAGAAATAAATATATTTTGCCAAGTGAAGGCATGAACATAAATAATCGGACTCGACACAATTTGCTAACCCCCCCCCCCCCGAATTAAGTGCCCGTCCCATGTAACTTTCACGTGCCCATGAAAATATTGGGTAGAAATTCTGATATACATTAATTTCAAACTACATGTATTTGGGAGTTGAAATTGTCTCGTGGATCATACATTAACACTGTGCGTATGAAAATAGTTCAAGTGGATTGAAAATGAATTTCGAACTAGAATTTCAATCCAATCAGGCGTCCGTGTCGAATTGTACCCACTCATTTCATTGTCTATCATCAACTGTTTTGACTGTAACAGATGGAAATGACTACAAGCTGCATATTCCCGATCTTGCCTGTTACTGTTCCGTGGTCTTAGATTGTATTTGCTCACAAGGTCATTGTATCGATCATAGATTGACTTTAAAAGGGACTGCTGATATTTTTATTTCATCAACTTATTTGTCAATATCTTGCCTCGTTTTAGAAAAATTATTGTTCATACGTAAAACTTGCTCTGCATGGCGTATCGAATCAACTGGGAGACATAAACTCCGTATGCAGGTGATAATGGTATATTGCTACATAAATAAGGGAAGTTAACGATAGGAAAGTTGAATTCATCACCTTTATCATAAAGTTTTATTGTTAGATTATCATTAACGTCCCTTTGTAGAAAAATATCTAAATATGAAAAGATGTGTCAGACTCTGGGGTATCTTTTATTTTGAGTATATCAACTTCGGGGTACTTGTGTGTATAATCAGAATGTTTTTTAACGAAATAATTTTGCAAATGACCAATGACAAGGTAAGTAAATTTACATGTACGAGTTCCGTTTTTTTTTTTTTGAAAAAAGCAGCAGTCTATGATATCAAAAAGCCTGAGTACAAATTGAGTAAATAAAAGCGTCTTTTCATTAACATGAAAATTCACTGTGACATTTATTACTAGCCTGAACAGTGTTTGCTTTTAAGGTTTCAAATGGCCGATTTAGCACTGAAGACAAAAATCGAGACTAATATAAAATGTTCAGTGAATAACATTTGTTTTATCACTCTTACTTGCAAATTAAATCCTTTTAGACTTTATTTAGATTTCATAAAAACCACAGCAATGGCTTTCAGAGAACGATACTTCAATGTATAAAATCAACATTATCCAAGTTTCAGTCTTAAGGATGAATAGTATTTCAATCGATTTTATCCATTTTACACCTCCATATTGTAGCGAAACGGTGCCCTTTTGCATCTTTAATGTAAAAATTATTCTTAGTCAGGCACGTAGCATTGTTTTTCAAGGGAAGGGAGCTCGAGGGTTAGCATCGTTTTTCAAAGAGGACAGCCGGAAAATAATATAAAAGTATCCGACCCATATTAGGGCCCAATTTTCTAACCTTAAATATCCACTACGTATAAAATATTCTGATATTAATTCAAAGCATTTTAGAGTAGAAAAGGATTTACCAAGAGAAATTTTCAAAATTGATTACCAAAGCAGTTAAGATTGCTTTGAGGTCTTTTAATTAAAAAATAAAAATTTAAATATTAAGAATATCAATAAATGCTGCTGGTGGAAAGATGTTTTTTTTTTTAATTATTAGGAATAGAAAAACGATTGGGCGGGACATTCATGTCTATGAACATATTTCTAATCTAAGAAGTGTCAAAGGTCATCTGTTTCATGGTTCTTCCATCAATGTAATGTACACATCCATAATATGATATTGTACGTATTCGTAACTACTTTAAAAAATAATAATTTTCAAAAACAGATATAAACAATGCAATAAGATATATTTCCATTTTTGTATATACGGGAAAGGACGGTTACAATCATTGCAAAGAAAAAAAAAAACAACACAAAACACAAAACAAAAAAAAAAAAACAACAAAAAACAAAAACGAAACAATCCGCTTAAGCGGATTATGTTTTTTTTTATCTGCAATGTTGCAACTGTTCATCCTCATAACAAAGAAAGAATGCTCTTTTTTTGTTTACTTAAATATCGATAACACATTAAAACTGCAATACTAATCATGAAGAAATCTAAAGAATGCACAGTTGGTACGCAACATGTTCCTATAATAAAGGAGTTTAGAGATAGAATTCATGAATCCTTGCAGAAAACGTGACATCGTCGATCTCTCTTGGGCATTTAAAGTGGTGGGCAAAAAGTCCTGTGAAAGAAGACAGGCCCGTAGCTTTATTGAAGGAACCCCAATAATTTTGCCAGTATATACCATACAGTGGAAAATAAAGCTATAATGGTTGTGTCCCTCAATAATTTTGCCACTTACATACTGTACAATAGATAACAAAGGCAATTTTATTGTCGTGCCCCCCCCCCCCCCTCCGAGCTAGTTGTAGCGTCTGATTATCTTGGGGGATAAGTACTGCCTCCCCAAACCGATATTGTTTCCAATGGGCCTGAAAGATTACATTTTAAAACTTTTTTTCAGGCACTTCTTGCCCTTCAGATTACACTTGCAAACTTGGACTTGTTTTCTGCTACAAATATTTCGGAACAAGAAAGAGCCGTGTGGACGCCGAGTCCTCCTGTGCCAGCGAGGGAGCGGAACTCGTCATAATCGACAATGCTGACAAAGACAACGAAATTTTGTCATACATTAGTGAGTTAATTTAATTCAAATAAGACATTTAACGTATGCCCACTGCAAAATATTGAAAATAAAAAAAAACTGACAAAGTTATGCAAGAAGAGTAAAAAATATTTGTAGATTTGGAGAAAGTTCGTTTGCATGTAATGCTCTTTAAAAATTCCTACCGTGCGACAATTTTAAAGTATTGTTCGGAACGGTGCCGCTAGAGATATAATTCGTTTTAAACATTTCATCTGTCAATATATGATGTGATGAATTGTTAAGTTAAAACATTCGGTATAATTGTTTTCAACACTCGGGAGCTAATTAACACATATCAATAAAAGTGCGAAGATATAAAGGCAAAATAATAAATAAAGAATAATTGCCAGAAAACATTTCAATCATAGCATTCATGATGAATCCTTTGCAGAGAAGTACACACATAATAATTGTTTGAAACCTAAATATTGTATTTTATTTTTCACTATTTTATAAAAACAGATGTCTTTTCTTTCGACACTTTTCATTTGGCTATCACTATGTGACCTTGACAACATGGCATTGAGATACGGCCTTGAAGCAAGGTCTTGATACCTTTGGGCAACATCAAACTCAAATTTTAATTCATTCAAATATCATTTCCCAGTGACCTCGATCTGTAAGCATGACCTTGAGTCAAGACCATGACAAACGTGTGTCATCATACTTGAATAAATTCGATGAAGAGTGCCATACATATCCTGGACATATACCGAGTATGTTTGGAACTTTGATCGGAATTGACTTCAGTATGTTGTTCTTATGACCTATATTGTCTTGCTTAGGGTCATTTCACGATAATAGAGAAACGAAATGTTGAAGTTATGTGTAATTTGTACAAGTTTGTAAGTTAGTAACTTTGTTACTAATGATTTAAAAATATATAATCTCATATATGTGGTTATACGTTAAACATTTCTAAAATATGAATTCAAGGACATGTCATCAAGGATACAGGGATGACCAGGGGAATTATTTGGAGAATGGGGTATATATCCGTATATGTAAAACACAAACAACCAAACAGACAACAATTAAAAAAACTATCATTTCGTTTAAAATCGATTATGGGATGACAATTGAATAATGGCGAAATTAATACAATTTAAAATTCTTTATTAAGTCTTTGTAACATTATACCTATTCGTCTTATTGAATTTGTATTATGTTTCTTTAAATTATGTCAATGTTGGCTTTTTTTTTTTTTTAAAATGCAGATACCAACTCAATAACAGAACTATTTTATTGGGTACAAGGCAGCTATGTCGGCAGTCAGTGGCAGTACAACGACGGTACACAAATTACGTACTTCCGGTGGGCCCCTAGTCACCCTTATAAGTATGACCTCTTGGCTTTCAACAAAGATAATGGATTTCACGGAACCACGAATACTTACGATGACGTGTATTTCTGTGAAGTCAAACTCTGATCGCTACCAACCACTAACAAGCTCGAGGCAGATGGCTTGAACATTGTAACTTAAGGTCAGACGACACGTTCCTCGAATATCTGTTTTTACATTCCTTTGTAATATACCAAAAATATTTATATTTATTATATTTTGATTTCTAAACTATTTTCAAAATGTCTGAAAATATATGGACCAAAAATAGTGATATCAGCAGTTCAAGTGAACTTTAGTATAGGATTATATAGAAAATACCATCCCCAGAATCTTGCACAAATGCCTGGTAATGTACCCCGATTTTTTGTGAGGAAACTTCTTAAAATGGCAATATTTCAATCGATCACAAAATATTGGGAAAAGCTATATATATTTGAGGAACGGGTCGTCTGACCTTAACTGAAATCTGATACATGTATATAATTGTTTGACTTGTTTTATGTACATCATTTTGATATTTTTTTTTTTTTTTTTTTTTTTTAAGAAAAAAACTTTTGGGATAAAATCGTTGCGTTCAACTTATTAAGAAAAGGGGGAAATCGTGAAGCAATAGCTGGATCATTTATGAAAAACTAGTTTCAAATAAATCGTTTTACCATTATGCCTTGAATTAGTTTGTATGTGTGTACGGGGGGGGGGGGGGGGAGGTACTGATCAATCGGATCACCTCGCCCTTTTCTAGAAAAAAGATTTTTTTTCACAACGATGACACAACTGCCTCAATGGCACATTTAATCTAATACACTATACATGTATCTTTCAAAAATAGTCATCAAAACGTTGATTTTTATTTTTTATTTATTTTTTTATTATTATTATTTTTTTTTTATAATTTTGATACAGCCGAAGAGATAGAGTTATAGCATTCTGATTTACAGAATTATATACCTCAGTCATGCTATTCGAGAGGAGTTATCACTTTGGATTTATTTATTTCCAGTTCTTCTTTTTCCAAATGTTCTACTAAAAATTGCAAAACCTGTGATATTTTGATAAATACTTCGTTTTATACCAACCTTACTGGACACAGTTTATATACTAAAACTGGAGAAAAATTGACCTGTAAAACTTCAAACGCTGTCTGTGGAATCCGATCGGAAACTGATATTTGTACTTGTTTTATAAGAGTTTAAGACAATGACAAAAAAAAAAAAAGAATGTATGAAAGATAATGAATAAGTTAGTACAAGTCCAACATGCCCCAGGGTCATGGAAGCAGTTTTAGACAGGTCAGAATTTCTACAATATCTTCCAATTTTTATTATAAAAACACACACGAAAATAAAAAAAAATGCCCCCTTACGTTGTTAACATAATTTTTATCACACACACACACACCCTCTCACACACATGTGAAGGGTGTCAAACGGGGACAGGTGCATTTTCAAAAGGTGTATTAACGCGAAGTAAAATGGTGTTTTAATTTCAACAAATGCGTAATAACGCCTTTGAAAAGGCATAATTAGCCTTTCTAATGCCCTGATAACAAAAAAGGCGTAATAACACGAAAAAAGGCGTAATTACGCCTTTCAAAAAGACGTTATTACATGTACGTCTTTCGAAAAGGCGTTGTTGATCTTTTGGGCTTTTGAATAGCCGTTATCATGTCTTTTTGCAGGCCCCTGTTTTTGAAAGGGGGGACAGCCTCCCGAAAAATTTACAAGCAGAAAATAAAAGCAAACAAACAATTAAAAACAAAAAGTGTGGGCGGGAGGGGGGATAAGCAATAATTTGCAAGAGTTCGACCATGCTGCAATAACATGTGCAGAGACCAAACAGCCAATAAATGATTTTTTTTAAATATTTAAACTAAAGCAGGACATTTTTCCCAAAAAGTGGGGTGGGGTAGGGGAAAGGTGTTATAACGCCTTTTTTCGCGTTATTGCGCCTTTTCAAAAGGCGTTATAAAGCCTTTTAATTTTTTTCTCCAGAGATTGATCCTAATACCGGTATGCTTTCGTATATACGTGTACTGTACTTCTAAACTATTCGGTGATTTTTTATCCCCTTTTCTGAACGAATTATTATTGCAGGAGCAAATAACATTTTTTTTTCAAAATGCGAAAGGGGGAGAAGACATGACAAATTAAGAAGTAGATAAACATGTGCCTGAAAAAAAATTGACCAAAAAAAAATCAGAAAACAGTCATTTTTTTTAATCCTGACATTATACTCAAGAACGTTATTTTGTTGTGAAGGGAGGATTCTCTCTGCATTGTTTTTACATCATCTGAACATTTCCATACAAAATCTACCCACTTGAATTGTAGCCAGTGTTTGGTATTAGTTTAGGGGAACAAAATGTGTATTTCATGGTCTACATCATAATGTGCAGATTCAGGAATTTTTCTTTGTAACTTTAAAAACTGAAAATTCAGGTGTGGGGGGGGGGGCGGGAGTGATAACCCCTTTTAGATCTGCGCATGTTCATCACTGTGGGTCTGAACGATATCAATATCCTAGCATCCCCTTGATCTGTAGATTCAAATTTGTTTAAATCATGGACCCAAATGATTACATTGAGCTAAACAAGAGGCCCATGGGCCGCCTCGCTCACCTGAACACATTGGCTATGAAAAAGCAAAATCAGTTCAGTAGTGAAAAGTTTACAGGGGGAGTGTTGGCAAACTTGAATTTTACACTTCCTGGGGATGCTTCCATATCAATATAACTAATGCCTTTGCTGTTCTTGAACAGAAGATTTTAAAGATTTTTTCCTATATATTCCTTTGTAAAAATTTGATCATTGTGGCCCCTCTCTATCCCTGGGGGCCATGATTTAAACAAATTTGAATTTACACTACCTGAGGATGCTTCCATATTAATGTGACTAATCATGGCTTTACTATTCTTGAGCAGAAGATTTTTAAAGATTTTTCTTATATATTCCTATGTAAAACTTAAATTGTGGCCCCACCCTATCCTGGGGAATGGGGTATCATTTAAACAGACTTGAATCTTAACTCTACCTGAGAATACTTACACATCAATATGACTGAATATGGCTTTCCGGTTCTTGAGCCAAAGATTTTTTTCCTGTATATTCCTATGTAAAATTTTGCTCCCCCAAAGTGGCCCACCCTATCCCCTGGAGTCATGATTTGAACAAACTTTAATCTAATCTACTTGAGAATACTTCCACATCAATATGACTAAAAATGGCTTTTCTGTTCTTGAGAAGGTTTTTAAGGATTTTTCCTATATATTCCTATGTAAAACTTTGTTTCCCCACTGTGGCCCCACCCTAACCGGGGGGTCATCATTTGAATAAACTTTAATCTACACTACCTGAGGATGTTTGCATATCAATATGACTAATCAAGGCTTTGCTGTTCTTGAGAAGATTTTTAGATATTTTCCTGTATATTCCTATGTAAAACTTTGTTCCAACCTTGTGGCCCCACCCTAACCCCAGGGGTCATTATTTAAACAAATTCAAATCTACACTACCTGAGGATACTTCAATATCAATATGACTAATCAAGGCTTTGCTATTCTTGAGAAGAAGATTTTTAAAGATTTTTTCCTATATATTCCTATGTAAAACATTGATCCCCCATTGTGGCCCAACCCTAACCCCGGAGGTCATCATTTGAACAAACTTGAATCTACAATATGTTAAAAAGTTTTTTTTAAGGAAGCTCTAAACACCAACAAAAAGTTTTTTTTGGACTTGGAGAAAAATACGTTTTATAAAGGTATGCATATTGAGACTATTTAGTTCATTTTCAACGTAAGGTACCTGCCTTATTTCGGCAGGAAAAATGTTCAAAGACAAGGACTATTTATAAACAGAAATCACTGTTGTTTACCTATACTGGGAAAATTAATGGAAATAATGAATTAAATTACTTATTCTTGGTCTAATATAATGTTTAGAATATTTTAATCTATCACAAATTGTGTAATTGACCATAAATATCTTACTTCTAAGAGCAGATCACTCTAACTGCATAGAACTACCCTACAAGTAGAACTCTTTTGTGTGCAGTGTTTAGAGCTCCCTTAGGTTTGAAATTTTTTGGCCCAGTGGTTCTTGAGAAAGAGATTTTTAAACGATGCCACCAAATTTTCACTATTTCTGAATTATCTCCCCTTGAAAGAGGGTGTTACCCTTCATTTGAACAAACTTAAATTCTCTTTACCTAAGGATACTTTGTGGAAAGTTTGGTTGAAATTGGCCCAGTGGTTCTTGAGAAGATGAAAATGTGAAAAGTAATTACAATGACAACAATGACATGCAGACAACAGACAAATTTCAATCAGCAAAGCTCACTTGAGCCCTTGGCTCAGGTAAGCTGATAAAGGGTTAAGGTTACAGAAAGCATATATGTGAAAAACTTTATAAAAACAGCAGTACCATAATTATTAGTCATACTTGTATGCAAATATCCTCAAAAAGTAAAGTTTTAAGTTCCTTAAAATCATCTTAAAGCTAAGGTAAGGCCACAACAGATGATTTGAATCCTACACTACATGGATTGGTTTGTTCAAAATTATTTTAATGGAACAATATGGCCCTAGTTTTCAACTCTTTTTTTTAAGTTTCCATTCCCATTTTTTCTGATTTTAAATTTTGGTCCCCAGTTGTGCCCCCTCCCTTACTGTAATTTGAATAAATTTGAATCAACCTCAATGATGAAGCTTGAATTTCAATATGAATGATAGTTGCCATATTGTTCTTGAATTTCTTTTTCATTTAAAAAAAAATCTTTTTAAAAATTGATGTTTTATTTATTTAAGCATTAAGTAAAGCACATGATCTATGCAAATTCTTCTATTTTTTGAGAGAAATATGTCAAGTGCACACTTCCTTACATTGCAAATCCTAAGATCCTCCCAGCTAATTTATGCAGTGCAATTTCAAAGGTCAATTTTGAAGTTACCTGTAACTGATTATAATTGTGTTGCTTATGTCTAAAAAAAACACATTGTTTTAAAATGCACAGATTTGTTAAAACAACACTGAATATTTTACATTCTATACTTTAATGGACAACATTCACAAATCACAAATCAACACAGAATTAAAGATTAACATTCTGAATTAATAATAAGCATTCTCCTTATAAGTATCTGCAGATGTGCAAGTTTGGTTGGTATTCCTAAACTAACTAGGAACAATGGAAATGTTACTGACTCATGTCATCGAATCTCAAAATTTTGTAAGATGCATTATCCAATCATCATACTTGGAATCTAAAAATGATACTAATTGAGTGCAGGTTTGGTTTATCTATCACTTATAAATATAGAAATAGCTGTAAGTACCATCCTTTACCAGTCATTTAAGTATAACATGTACAGATGACATTCAAAGCAAGAATTGGAACAAACACCTTACATGCAAGTTTAGTATATAGGTATACACAATATATCCATAAGTTTTATATTTAATTTCAATTTTGGTCAAATGAACAATTTCAAATCACCAAAGTACCAGACTACCTATCCTATAGGTGCATTTCAAATACAAGGTAAGCTTGAACACTGCATCAATTGTGGCAATCTAAGCTGTGAACCTGATGTTCACTAAAGCATGGTGTTATGTG